TAAAGCATATACAATTGCTACACAAGCCATGTTGTAAATGTTATTACACACTACAGTACCTTTTCTTTTCAATCTGTATCCATTGTAATTTTTCGTAAAGTTCAATGTAATATAGCAACCTGGAGACATTCTGTACACCACTGGTTGAGTAATTGCCTCATTAATTTTCCCAGAAGTCTGCACTAAGTCAATTTTTAGGTATCCCTGCAAAAAGACATTTCTGTTTTGCTGAGATACTCCTCAAGTGTTAAATACTTCTAAAGTAGGGGTGCTCAACCTTTTCAAGAGTGAGGGCCATTTAAGTGATTTGGTTATCGGTTGTAGGCCAAAATGAAATGAAATGGTTCAGAATTCCAAATTTTTTATTGTAAATAGCATAATCAATATTTTTCTCCTGCAGCTGCTGAATGCCTGTGGGAGGGAGAGGAGAAGAAGATCACTTGATTACTCTGACCGTCGCTTGTTTACTGGAATTGTCTTTGCCAGCTGATTTTGTACTGTTTTGCTTGGCTGTTACTGACCATGGCCTACCTTCTCGACTTGTTCCTTGCCTTGCTGACTACTGCCTGTCTCCCAGTCCTGCTTCTTCTTCTGCTCTGGTACCAAGCTGCTCCTGCATCCTGTTCTGAGAACTGAGACCCACCAGCTCTACCCACCTGTAGAGTGGACATCAAAAGCCAGCTACTTCTGCAAGCATGCCACTCCTTGATCTCAAACTCTCCATCTCCGTTTCCATCAACAGGAGTGTTGGGCAGGAGGTGCAAGAGAGGCCTCCACAATGTTACAGTTGTCACCAGATAAGTTGTCTCCAAAAGAAATGTCTCCATTTAAAGATCTCTCTATTCACATTCTGGTGACCATTTTTGATCTTTAATTACTTTCTGTCTACACTGACAGTGGTCACCAGGAAAATAGAGAGGGTGAATCTACTTAGGGGGCACCAATAAAAACTTAAAAAGGGTTCCAATTCTTCTTTACTGTAATCTATCCAAGTGTTGACTTGACATACATTTTTTTTTTGCTGGCACCTTCCTTTTCAGCAGAGTTTTTTGCATGACTTACAGAATTTGTTTATTCAGAGACTGAACAGAGCTTTTGTTGGGTTTGCTAAGAATCCCACTGCATCCCCAGACAGTGATGAGCCATGACCAGCCTGATTAGAGTCTTCCATGTACGAGTAGGAGGATACTTTTGGGTTATTCACAGCTGATAAGAAACATTGCCAGTGATAGCCAACTGTGAATACCTCGGGACACATTCTTAAAATGTTTTTACTATGAGTTGGTCAATAGAACTTCGGTGATATTTGGAGAATGCCTTCATATGCAGAATGAATATGAATCAATGAATACAGTATACCGGGTGTGTTGGCTTTCTGTTTATTAGAATAGAATATCAATTTTTCTTTGTTATGCAGGCCATAGATTTTTTCATCATGCACAAAAAAAATCGCCCGATATTCACGCCGTTAGTGGGGCCAGCCCATTGGCCGTTTTTCGTGGATCTTCTCATTTATTTTTATCGGTCATGCTGGAAAATCCACGAAAAACGGTTGTTTTTCGTGGACATTGGTGGCAGCATCGGCAATGGGGATGACTGATTTTTCGTTTATCGGCCGACAATTTGGCCGATAAACGGCCTGTCTATGGCCAGCCTTAGTGTAGATCTAAATTCAGTTAAAGGGGGGTGATAAATCATTCTTTGTGAATATTATTTTCATTCTTTCAGTTATACAGAAATTTGCTAAGAATTGCAGGCCTTCTCTGATAAAACAAAGGCTTGCATTCACATCCTGCCTCTTCATTTGTAATCTTCTGTTTCTTAAGGTCATTCTAGCCAATCATTGGTCTAGCCTTTGAGGACAGACACGTTAGCTTGATGCCACACCTATAGGAAACACATTGCATAAGCGGCAGGAAATACCAACGTAGAACATATTACAAATCTCTCACCTGCCAGGTCTGCTGGCTGCAGATAGAGCAGGTCTAGAGACCACGGGAGACACAACGGGCATATTTGACAAACTGGTTTTTATTTTAATTGTTCTGTCAGTTACTTTGTGACAATTCCATCCTTTTACTGTCTTTGCACTTAAAGAGAAAAAGTAATCTGCAGTTGTTTGTTTTAAATATATACTGTATGTAAGTATACAAGTGATAAGTGATAAACTACGTAAATCATCTCATAAGCTAGTGACAACGTTTTAAAACCCCCAAAAAATATTTAGATTAGACTTTAGATTTTTATAATTTATGTTGAATATGTGTATAATTAAATATTTGTATATCCATAGATATACTCCCCCTCCTGGAGAAGTGGATGGTAGGGTCCATGAAACACATTGAAATTGCTTTACACCCAATACTCTATACTTCTTTTAGACATTAGATATTATGCTTTTGCTGAATATAGTAAAATACAGTATTTGCCTATTATTCATGCAGCTTGTGTTTCTTGCTTAGTTGTGTTACACTGTAGATGTTCATTATGTCCATCACCTACAATGACAATCTACCATAGACCTAGTGATAACAATAGACAGTCAACTGCATACAATAGATGGAGATTGGATGAGCAGGTCACTAAAATATCTGATGTAAAAGAGATTTTTCCAAAAGAATGAACCACCTGGAAGGTATGTGTGTGTTCATGAGAAGGATGGATTAGGAGTACCTGGTAAACACCCCTGGCATTGGGTTATCTTGGGGTAAATTATGATCACCCAGAAATATCTTTCTTGGCTGATTGACTCTTTCTCAGAAAGGGGACAATTGGTAAGTTTAAGATGTGAGGTGCCTGCAGACATAAGACTTTTCCCTGATCTGACCATAGCTAGTCGCTTTAGGTGCAATTAATTAATTTTAGGCACCGTACGTGATGGATAAATGCTCCAGTGTCTACAGAAGAAAGTGACCCTTTGGACTTGTATTGATTTTAAGGGGAACCCCATGCCAAAAAAAAATGGTGTGGGGTCACCACCAAAATCCATATCAGCCCCATATCTGACCATGCAGCCCAGCAGGCCAGGAAAGGGGGATAAGAAGACTCCCCTGAGAAAGCACCTTATCCCATATTGATAAGGACATGGGCCTCTTCACCACAACCCTTCGAACAATGGTCGTGGGGATGCAGGGGACAGCTTATCATAATCCGGAATACCCCTTTAACAAAGGGGCCCAAAGATTCCACCCCCCATATGAATAAACATGGGGTATATAGTACAATGACAACACATGCTGGCCCTCGGAGACCCCACCCTATGAAGTCAAAGGGTGGGGTCCCAGAGCGCCATCATATGATGTCGCCAGGTAACCTCGCTCATTTGATGTCACAGGATGAGTCTCAAGCATGTGTCTTCATAGGGGCGGAGTCACCCAGTGATGTCCAAACAGGTGACCCCGCCCCTATGACATCACGGGGCAGGGCCTCCGAAGGGAACAGGTTCACCCAAGTTGCATCTGAAATCTCATCATTGTGAACCAGGTCCCATCGCTTGGCCAATAAAATAAATAAATGCCTAAGTGATTGATGTGCCTAAATAAACCTAAACGCGTTTGCAAAAACACGACGGCACATTTTATAAGCTGCTTTTCTCATACTAGGAAAAAAAACATTTAAAAAAGCCCCAGTGTGCATGAAGCCTAAAAGGATGAGACCCCAGTTAACATTTCATGCCAGCACCCAGAGGTTTAGTTGCCCCCCGGACTGTAGCTCATTTTTTTTCACTCTCTGTTTTTTGCAACATGCTGTCTAAAATTTCAGCTTTGCAAGCCGAGTCTAATAAAATACCTCTCCATGCTCAATTAGACAACATTTATAATCCCTAAAATGTTTTTGTATCCTCTTCCGCCTCTTTCATTATTTATAGAGGACATTTTTCAGTTGGTTAGATTCATACACAAATGATGAGATAAAGGGAATTTATTTGGACTGTATACATGTCATTATCTCTTGTATTTACTACTTTTGGAGTGTTTTAATCCTTTATAATGGTGCCAGATCAGACTTGTTCCCCTTAATTGCTTGTTATAATATAACAGCCTGATAAAAGTGTGAAAAACACAAATAAACTTTGTTTCATACAAAGACATGCTTCAGAGTTTTTAGGTTTTAAAGTTGTATCAGTGTCGGGAACTTTATACACTGTATTGTAGAAAAGCCTATCCTTTTGAACACGGAGGAACCCCTGTAATAACTTTGCGGTCTCAGACTAATAATTATTATATCTATAGCTTATGGTACATTAGCACGATGGATACTGGGAAGTATGCTCCTTATATTTGTGGTCATTGGGAAAAATCACCCTTTAAGGGCTCATTCACATGTGCAGGCAGGGTCTGCTCCTCTGAAGAGCCATCCATTCTCAGTAGCGCAGTATGATTCCTGCCATAAGCAAAGCTCAGCATCATGACCCCAGCATGTGTACACTCCTGACCGCTGCCTCTGCAGCTAAAGCCACTGGGTTTTCCTGCCCCCACACAATTGCTAGTGTGAACAAGTCCTTACAGATAGCATAGAATATTATTGTTTTCAGTGCCTACCTATCTTAGAGGCAGAAATTGTTTATTGCTCAAGGAATCTCTAGAAACCTCTGGAGGAACCCTGTTTGTGAAAGGCTGTTGTAGTGGTATAGCCTATCCATAGCTATAATACTACTTTAAAGTGGTATTAACCTCCATGGCAGTATGGTTATTTCCGATTATTTGTGCTGAAAAGCGGTACCATTATTTTGCATGGAAATATGTAGTTTTTTATTGTAGGCTGTAATTTTTAGGAATAACTCACTGAAATCTGTTCGAACAAGAGTCTAGTAAACATCCCGGGTAGGATAAAACTTGAAACACGAAATCATAAATTATAATTTAATAAATAATCATAAAAAAATAATAATATAATAATAATAATATATTTAATTCAATAATATAATCAAACCAAAAACACTGAAATTTGAAATACAGAGGCAAATTCGCACATCGCTGAGCAAAGTCGCAAAATCGTTTTCAGTGTCTGATGACGAATTTCCCCACAAATCATTATCACTCAATTCTGCAAGTGGTTCTGATTTACTATCGCTGTTCTCTAGCCGGTCTACAACCGCTTTTGACATAAAGGGATGCTTTTTGGACGCCATGGACTTTTCTAAGTTTCCAGGCAGAAAGAACAGTCAAAATGCAGGCAGGGCACAGGACAAAGCACTCGGGACAAAATGTATGTGAAATGCATTGAAACAGCAATGTTTTACTATATAATAACACTGTTCAACAAATTTTTATTTTTTGCCAGTTTTGGAAACAAAAGGATCCATTTCTTAATGAATTTCACATTCTGAGTTCAAATTTAACAATGAAATTTGTCAATTGGCTCTAGTTTTTCTGTAAACGGAAAGTTTTCTACTATAGGCGTAATGACTACATAATGCACAATAATTATATAGATAGATGTCTTTCCACAAATATAAAGCAAGTGATATTGACTACATAACAAAGCCTAAATGGCATAATATATTGCATAGGATTACCAAGAAAAATTATAGCCATAAGCTAAGTTGAATCATTTTAATACTTAGGATTCTCACTAGTTTTGTCTTCAGTTTGTGTCGGTTTTGCTTCTCTTGGCTTTTCTCTTGTATTCGAGGAAAGGGCTATCTCTTACAACTGTCCAGCAATAGTCAGCAAGCATTGATGGGCTCCATTTACCTTGATATCTTCTTTCCATAGCTGCAATGTCTTGATGGAAGCGCTCTCCGTGTTCATCACTCACTGCTCCACAGTTTGGTGGGAAAAAATCCAGATGCGAATGTAGAAAATGAATTTTTAGAGACATGTTGCAACCCAGATTTCTGTAAGTCTGGATGAGTTTTTCTACCACTTTCTTGTAGTCTGGTGTTTTATTGTTTCTAAGAAAATTTGATGTCACCGATACAAATGCTGTCCAGGCAGCCTTTTCCTTTCCACGCAACAGAGAAAGAAACTCATCATCATGAATAAGTTTACGAATCTGTGGCCCAACAAAGACTCCTTCATTTATTTTTGCAGCACTAAGTGCTGGAAATTTGCTAATCAGGTACTTGAAACCTGCTTTATTCTTGTCCATTGCCTTAACAAAGTTTTTCATTAATCCCAACTTGATGTGTAATGGAGGTAATAAGATCTTATTGCTGTCTACAAGTGCTGGATAGTTAACATTTTTTTCTCCAGGCTGCAATGACTGGCGTAATGGCCAGTCTCTTTTGGCATAGTGCATTTCTCTCGCACGACTGTCCCACTCACAGAGGAAGCAGCAGTACTTAGTATATCCACCTTGAAGTCCAAGTAGGATAGCAATCACCTTCAGGTCACCACAAATCGACCATTGATGTTCATCATAGTTGATGCACCTTAAAAGCTCTTTCAAGTTTTCATACGTTTCTTTCATTGAAACTGCGTAAGCAACTGGAACTGACGGCAGCTGATTGCCATTATGGAGAAAAACAGCTTTAAGACTCGCCTTTGAAGCATCAATGAACAGCCTCCACTCATCGGGATTAGAGATGAGCGAATTATTCAAAAATTCGATTCGGCTGATTCGCCGAATTTGCGGGAGAAATTCGATGCGATGCAAATTTTTATTCGCTGCGAATTTAACTTATTAAAAGGGTTTCTAGGCTTCAGAGAGCCTTTATATTAGTGCAGAACACTGTACCTTTTAATTTAAATGCCCTTGGAGTCTGCTGGGGAAGAGAAATAATACTGTCAGTCAGTATGACATGCAGATGAGTGCCGTCGATCTTAGAATCACCGAACACTTCACTCATTTGGGCAGTCACGGGGCACGACGAAGAAGAAGAAGAAGAAGAAGAATGAAAAGAAGAAGAAGAAAGAAGAATGAAAAGAAGAAGAAGAATGAAAAGAAGAAGAAGAAGAATGAGAAGAAGACTGAAAAGAAGAATGAGAAGAATGAAAAGAAGAATGAAAAGAAGAAGAAGAAGAATGAAAAGAAGAAGAAGAAGAAGAAGAATGAAAAGAAGAATGAAAAGAAGAATGAGAAGAATGAAAAGAAGAATGAAAAGAAGAAGAAGAAGAAGAATGAAAAGAAGAAGAAGAAGAATGAAAAGAAGAATGAGAAGAAGAATGAAAAGAAGAATGAAAAGAAGAATGAGAAGAATGAAAAGAAGAAGAAGAAGAATGAAAAGAAGAAGAAGAAGAATGAAAAGAAGAATGAAAAGAAGAAGAATGAAAAGAAGAATGAAAAGAAGAAGATGAAGAATGAAAAGAAGAAGAATGAAAAGAAGAAGAAGAAGAATGAGAAGAAGAATGAAAAGAAGAATGAAAAGAAGAATGAGAAGAATGAAAAGAAGAATGAAAAGAAGAAGAAGAATGAAAAGAAGAATGAAAAGAAGAAGAAGAATGAAAAGAAGAATGAAAAGAAGAAGAAGAAGAATGAAAAGAAGAAGAAAAGAATGAAAAGAAGAATGAAAAGAAGAAGAGGAAAGAATGAAAAGAAGAAGAAGAAGAATGAAAAGAAGAAGAAGAAGAATGAAAAGAAGAAGAAGAATGAAAAGAAGAATGAAAAGAAGAAGAAGAAGAATGAAAAGAAGAATGAAAAGAAGAATGAGAAGAAGAATGAGAAGAATGAAAAGAAGAATGAAAAAAGAAGAAGAAGAAGAAAGAATGAAAAGAAGAAGAAGAATGAAAAGAAGAATGAAAAGAAGAAGAAGAAGAAGAATGAAAAGAAGAATGAAAAGAAGAAGAATGAAAAGAAGAAGAAGAAGAATGAAAAGAAGAATGAAAAGAAGAATGAGAAGAAGAATGAGAAGAAGAATGAAAAGAAGAATGAAAAGAAGAAGAAGAAGAAGAATGAAAAGAAGAAGAAGAAGAATGAAAAGAAGAATGAAAAGAAGAAGAAGAAGAAGAATGAAAAGAAGAAGAATGAAAAGAAGAAGAATGAAAAGAAGAAGAAGAAGAATGAAAAGAAGAATGAAAAGAAGAAGAAGAAGAATGAAAAGAAGAAGAAGAATGAAAAGAAGAAGAATTCCAGTACAGCAAAAAGTGTATCTGCAGAGAGCTCCGCTATTTCTGACAGTTCTCTGACAGTTCCTTCACATTTACAGCGGTTGAAACTTTTGTATCTATTTATTTCCGAATAAAAACATCTGTATCCTAAATGGAAACAAATAGATACAAATGTTTCAACCGCTGTAAATGTGAACATAACTGTCAGAGAACTGTCAGAAATAGCGGAGCTCTCTGCAGTGACACTTTTTTTGCCGGCTGATCGGGGGAAAATTCGATTCGTGCATCCGAAGTTTGCTAAAATTCGGATTCGGTTGCGAATCGAATTTTTCCTAATATTCGAAACGAATTCCACTTCGCCAAGTTCGATTCGCTCATCTCTAATCGGGATCATAGCATAGCCGATGGCTGAGATTAAACCATGAACATTGTTACATACAGCAATATCACCTTCCTGGACGAAGAATGGGATCAGATCTTTCTGACTTGACGGTAGAAAGACGTACGAACATCACTTGCTGAGGAGATTCCACTGTTGTAGTCTTGACCCCAAAAGCTCTGCCTTGTTCTTCGGAAGATCCAGGTCTCTGATAAGATCGCTCAATTCCACTTGTGTAATGAGGTGTGGTTCAGTGGGTGTGGATGGAAGAAAGTCTGGGTCATGTGAGGTTGACGCCTTTTTGATGACTACACGCTTCAGGTTCTTCCTCACTTGACTCAACCACAAAGGATTCTGGTGCTTTGGAATTGGTAGCCCCTCTCCATGAGGAACTGGACGTATTGCCGATGGAATATTTGGATAGTGCACAGATAACTTTTTCTTCTTATTTAGCCCTTTTGTTGGAGGCACCATACAAAAGTAACAATTACTAACATGATCTGTTGGCTCTCTCCAAATCATTGGCACAGAGAAAGGCATAGATGCCTTTTTTCCATTCAACCATTGCTCCAGTGCCGTCCCACAAGAATTGCAGCATATATGTGGTGCCCAGCTCTTGTCCTGGTCTCCTATCTTGCAGCCAAAATACAAGTTGTAGGCTTTCTTAATCATTCCTGTTATCCTCCTTTTTTGTGAGATAAAAGTTATTTCACCGCAGATATAGCAGAAATTATCTGCTTTATTCACACAAGTTCGAGGCATTACTGAGTAGCCTATATAAGCATAAAACGAAATGTAAAGACGCTGTCGAACTACAATCAGCTACAGATACTGCAGCTTTTATGCAGTGAAGTGATGCAATTAAAGGCTAATATTGCATAATCTCAGTATACATGCAATTTTCTATTGGTCACCAGTATCAATTGCGCAATATGCAGCTGAAGTTGCATCATAATTTTGAATGGCTTACGTCATTAGATGGGTGATATATATCATGGAAACTAGAGCCAATCAACATTTTTTAGGGTCATTTTCGTTTTCAGCACCCCAAAATTATGTAAGATTAGCTAATTTTATGCCCAAAACTTTTTACCTGTTGAACAGTGTAATCATTTTAAAAAAAATGAAATTTTTAAAAAATTTCAAATTTGCCACCGGTTTCTGGCGTCCGTACGTCCCGACGTCACAGGGACCGGAACACGGAAGCCGGATGCCGGCATCAGCCGGAGGAGATGGCCAGGGACGCTGCAGGGGACACATCGCAGGAGCGAAGGATAAGGTAAGTGCTGCAGGGACTCCCTGAGCAACGCCGCATGGTAAGCCCGAGTGTAGCTTGGGGTTACCGCTCTTGGTACTGAAATTTTACCCCGAGCTACACTCGGGAATACCGCCAAGGAGGTTAAACATTTCTTTGTTTTGTTTTTAAATACAGTGGGGATCGAAAGTTTGGGCACCCCAGCTAAAAATTGGTATTAATGTGCATAAAGAAGCCAAGGAAAGATGGAAAAATCTCCAAAAGGCATCAAATTACAGATTAGACATTCTTATAATATGTCAACAAAATTTAGATTTTATTTCCATCATTTACACTTTCAAAATAACAGAAAACAAAAAAATGGCGTCTGCAAAAGTTTGGGCACCCTGCAGAGTTAATATCTTGAACTGCCCCCTTTGGCAAGTATCACAGCTTGTAAACGCTTTTTGTAGCCAGCCAAGAGTCTTTCAATTCTTGTTTGAGGTATCTTTGCCCATTCTTCCTTACAAAAGTCTTCCAGTTCTTTGAGATTTCTGGGCTGTCTGTCACGCACTGCTCTTTTAAGGTCTATCCATAGATTTTCAATTATGTTGAGGTCAGGAGATTGTGAAGGCCATGGCAAAACCTTCAGTTTACGCCTCTTGATGCAATCCCCCGTGGATTTCGAGGTGTGTTTAGGATCATTATCCATTTTTAGAAGCCATCCTCTCTTTAACTTCAGCTTTTTCACAGATGGCATCAAGTTACCATCCAAATTTGCTGAAATTTTATTGAATTCATTTTTCCTTCTACTAGGGAGATGTTCCCTGTGCCACTGGCTGCAACACAACCCCAAAGCACGATTGATCCAACCCCATGCTTAACAGTTGGACAGAGGTTCTTTTCATTAATTTCTGTGCCCCTTCTTCTCCAAACGTACCTTTGCTCATTCCGGCCAAAAAGTTCAATTTTAACCTCATCGGTCCACAGAACTTGTTTCCAAAATGCATCAGGCTTGTCTATATGTTCATTTGCAAAGTTCAAACGATGATTTTTGTGGTGAGGACGTAGAAGAGGTTTTCTTCTGATGACTCTTCCATGAAGACCATATTTGTACAAGTATCTCTTTATAGTGGAATAGTGTACCACAACTCCAGTGTCTGCCAGATCTTTCTGGAGGGATCGTGCAGTCAAACGTGGGTTTTGAATTGTTTTTCTCACAATCCTGCGAGCTGTTCTGTCTGATATTTTTCTTGGTCTTCCAGATCTTGCTTTAACTTCCACTGTTCCTGATGACTGCCATTTCTTAATTACATTCTGAACAGAGGATATTGAAATCTGAAAACACTTTGTTATCTTCTTATAGCCTTCTCCAGCTTTGTGAGCGTCAACTATTTTCAGTTTCAGTTTTCTAGACAACTGCTTAGAAGAACCCATGGTGCTGATTGTTGGGGCAAGGTCAGATGAGTCTTGGCATTTAAAACCTTTGAGATTGACATCACCTGGTCTTCCCAGACGATGATTGAGAACAATCCATGACACTGGCAAGTCTCAGCTTGGCAAAGGGGGCAGTGCATGCTATAAATTCTGCAGGGTGCCCAAACTTTTGCAGACGCCATTTTTTTGTTTTCTGTTATTTTGAAAGTGTAAATGATGGAAATAAAATCTAACTTTTGTTGACATATTATAAGAATGTCTAATCTGTAATTTGATGCCTTTTGGAGATTTTTTTTTCCATCTTTCCTTGGCTTCTTTTGCACATTAATACAAATTTTTAGCTGGGGTGCCCAAACTTTCGATCCCCACTGTAACAAACATGTCATACTTATCTGCTCTGTGCAATTGTTTAGCACAGAGCAGCCCCGATACTCTTCTTCTCTGGTCCCCTGCCGGAGCTCCTGGCTCCTCCCCCTTGACCAGTGCCACTTGCTATGAGGGCACTGGTGCATGCTCACTCTCGAGCCCCTTTCTATGGTACATAAGGAGCATACAGTTGTGGCTGCCCCCCCCTCCTCATTGGCTTACTGGCTGTGATTGACAGCTGTGGGAGCCAATGGCGGTGAAATGCGTCAAGTAAGTGATGTTTTGGGTGTAGATCTTAGGGTTGCAGTTATAAGGTTGATAAAACAATAAAAGCATTTTGAGGTGTGGAGATTGGAGTGCGGCTCTCATTCAGCTATACTTAACAAAAAAGCATTGCCTTGTAAACCTTCATTTCAACTCACAAGCTGCGCTATAACTGGATGTGTTGGGTTTTCTAAAGAATGCAGAAATGTACAAAATATTTTTTCTTTATTTTGCCTTGGCACCTCCGTTTTACTCATTCTCTCTTTCTCGTTATAATACAGAAAAAAAGGAAAATAAAACTACTACTATTTAAAAAATGTTCTATGTTTTTTTTTTTGTTTTTTTTTAATCAAATCAACTTTTTTTTTTTCAACCTATCTGTGGCACCTCCTGCATTAAACGTTTTTATCCTGGCCGGAGTTCTGGGACAGTTAACCACAGATCCGGCAAGCTTAAAGGCCTCTTGTGTCCATGCCATGTCATTTGTATCATAAAAATAGCCCCCTTCATTATTAGCGTGCCACTTTAACACGCAGGTTATTTTCTCCCCTTTATTCCAGTAAAAGCAGCCTTTCGCTTCAGAAGAATTCTTGGCAAATTAATGCGCTACCTCTTGGGCTAATTAAATTAGAAAGGATCCTAAATACAGAGTGTCTTTTGTGGTGGACACAATGTTTGGCTTCATGCATCTCGCTCACAGAGGAATTTCTGCTATTAAAGCCCTCCTTGCCTCTAGCAGAGGTCTGGCCTCCTCTAACACAGTCAAGTTCCTAATTTGCCTCAATGAAGGAGAATTATTAGCTGATAAGATGGAGGAGCGAGCCTTCGGGCTTGGAAGGGTCTGCAACTTAGCACCTGAAGCTCTTGCAGTTCTTATTAATTCTTAAAATGAACTGAATTCTCTGAGCAAAATGACAAAGCAATTATAGTTTATTTTATTTTTTTTCTTGCTTTCGTCTGTTCGGAGATTGCACACATTACTTTACATATAACTACATGGAAGAAGTTAAAGCTTCTTTTTAGCATCTGTTTCATGTAATTTTTACCTCTCCTTTAATGCGTGTTTTTAAGAGCGCTGCAGATTCTCCGGATTGCAGACAGTAGGTAATATCTTCGATGTAATGAATATTTCACACATCTTAAGACCATGGCTGCTCGGGAGATTAGTATAATTTGTCAATAAGTTACGTGCGCAAAATCAGAACTATTCTGTCTCCCCGTGCTCTAGGATTGAGTCTTCACAAAGCACAGATCAGTGATTTTTATTGAAAGTGATCTCCAAACTAAATCCAATGGAGCTGGGCAGTTTTTACACAAATGTCAAATCAATAGGACAGGATTATGATGTTTTTATCATTTTATCAAATTTTAAACATTTACTAATTGAAATCAGTGGAGCTTGGAGTGTATGGCAGGGCAAAAAAAAAAATTAAATCCACCATTGCAATACATGAACATTTCTTCATTTGTTTTGTTTTTAAAATGCTGCAAGTACAGAAAAAAACCTAAAAAAAAACAAAAAAAAAAAAGAAGATACCCTATTGGGAGATATGTATTGGGCGGAGCCGATCTTGTGACGCCATTGCGTTCACTGGCGGCTGGATCCTGCAGTGTATTCTTCTCACTGCCTTTACATGCTACGAGTTTGCAAGTGCATTCACCTTTTAAATACATTTTTATTCGATTATACTACACTATAAGATTCTCCTGTCTCATGTTTTATGTTGGGTCCTTAGATGTTGATGTGGGAGTGAAGTCTCATGCTCAGTATCAGTATGGAGGTGACAGCGCTGGTTTGTGGAGCCATCATACATACAAAATCTTGATTGATCTCCTAGGTTGCGAGATCTCTATAGTTGATAAGCGGCTTGGTGTGGCACTGGAGCACTTCTATTACTATTTTTCTTGCACAAGGAGCACTTTATAGTCACGGCGAAGGCCATATTACTCTTAAAGCTGTGGATTTGCACTGTTGCATTGGATTTTCTTTTTGAATATCTGGACTTTCTTATATTATTGCTCCATAATTCATAACAATATTGATTGATTATCATATATTGATTCACAATCTAATGGAGTTTTCAAGTTCAGTCTTTTTTTATTAGTTTTCATGTCATAGTATAAATACATTAAAATTATTATCAGTATGTTAATCAACATATTATTACTAATGAGTGTATGACAAAAAAAATAAACATAAATAAATAAATAATCTAATACACAGTAATATGACTAAAGATGAGGATTCTCTCTATAAAGTACAAAGAGCCAACTAATATTATACAGACTAAAGTAAATATTTAACAAAGATATATAAAGAAGTTAGTATCATGTTTAGTCAAAATTGTAACAGAATCATCATAAAAAAAAACAGGTTTCATGTTACAAATCAAGGTCTCTGAATGAGTATGAATCAGATGAGTAAGATTGTCTAAGTCTGGTCAACATTAAAAGTAACCAAAAGAAAAGAAGAAAGAATAAAAAAATGAAGATGGGGGAGGGATAAAACAAAAAAGGTAAGACAAGGGCAAGGGTTTCACCATCCCAAATTTTAGGTATCCATAGATAATATGTTATCCAGGGTTGCCAAGTATTATCAAAATTTGTTTGGTGGTTATGTAAAGTGCAGGTCATTTTATCGTTGATCATGATCCAATTCAATTTATGCTTGATATAATCAAACGTCATTACTTGCTGGTTCCAACAACGTGCAACAGTTACTTTAGTGAACACAATTATGTAGGAAATTAAGCGTTAGGTGTGTTTGGAGAGACTCTTATCAAATTTCTGAAAAAGAGCAATTTTCGGGGATCTAACAAAATTTGTATTTGTTTAGGACGAAGTCACCATCCTTTGTATATTTAGGACCACCGCCACCAAATAATCAGTTTCTGAAAACATCCAGAGGAGGCTTGTTGATTCATTCTGGCAACCCTAGATGGAACCATATACCATTACAATTATGTTTTGTAATTAGATTCCACCAGGATTGTATTCATAGATATTTTAGAAAGATTTTAGCTAGTATTACGCCAAACCTGTTCCCAAGAAATGCAAA